GCTCCTATGATGCTGCTTGGCCTGCTGTGTTCATCCAGCTCTGCACCTTGTTATCTCAGATTTTCCAGCATCTGCAGTTCCGACTATCACTAACTAACTAGTGTTTAGTTATCAAGAAAGCAGCCAATTGAAACCCCAGAGCTGGTCATCCATGCTTCTCTATCTTAACTTTTCTCGGCTAGCTGACAGTCAAGCCCAGCTTGCAGCTGCTGTGGAAAAGGAACGGTCAGTCTCAGAAGAGCTTCTCACACTCAGGACCCAAGTTTCCTCATTAGATTCACAAAACAGCTTGTTGCGTCAGGAGAAGAGCAGGCTGCAAGCTCAATTAGAGTCTGAGAGAATCAGGCTTGAGAAGACTGAAGACGAAAGCAATAGGTGAGTAAATTGAAAATTTCATGGCTAATTTACAATTATGTAATTTGCAGCATACAAAGAAGCCATTTGCCAATTTTCACACAGCATACTTCTACAAATGTGTAATAATTGTCAGGATGTCAGGTTTCTCATCTTTGAAATAGTGCCGTTGGATCTTTTACATCCACCTGACGGGTCAAGCGCAGCCTCGTTTTGCCATTTCATGGACTCCCTCAGTACAGTAGTGGTATGTCAAACTGGATAGTTGTGCTCAAAAATGCTGGAATTGGACTTGTATCCACAACCTTCCATCACAGAGGTATCAGTGCTACCAGCTGACATTGTTGATTCTGGAAGCATGAATTGTTGAATTAATCCTCATAACATGCTCTTACTTCTGGTATCATTCTAATTACTCTTTATTGTACCTTTAAAAGGCTCCATAAATGGTATGCTAATGCAATGTCCAGAATTCATTCAATACTTTCCATTGTGGTGTATCTAAAATATTGTACTAAATCAGAATTACATATTTTTGTTACATTGTGTTTCTGTATATGTATTGCTGATTTCCATTTCTATTTCTCATCTGTTCCATTGCTGCTCTCAACTTTAAAGATATATGTATCTTTGCTGAGAGATCTCACTGTTCCTCTCATTCTTAAGAATTAACAATAAATTGCTATTTTTACTGTTTAGTAACTGACTTCTAAGGTTTTAGTGTAGATTTGTAGCTTGGGTTGTGGATGGTTGGCTCGCCGAGCTGGTTCGTTGTTCCGCAGACGTTTCCTTACCCAGCTGGGTAACATCATCAGTGCAGCCTCCATTGAGGTGCTGTTGTGTTTTCCTGCCTGTAATTTAAACTCTGGTGTCCGCTGAGCTGGATTACCTCACTTCTTGGTTTTCCTTCGCAATGGAGTGTACATGGGGTCTAGCTCTATGTGTTTACTGATGGCTTTCTTAGTGGAGTACCAGGCTTCTAGGAATTCCTGTGCTTGTCTCTGCTTTGCCTGTCCCAGGATCCTGGTGTTGTCCCAATCGAACTGATGGTTTTCCTTATCCATGTGGATGGAGATGAGTGAGTATTGGTCGTGTCTTTCTGTTACCAGTTGATGTTCGTGTACCCTTGTGGTTAATTTCCTTCCTAGGCCGTTTTCTAAATTGTGTTTGTGATAACCACAGTAACTGTTTACTATTGATCAACATTTTTAGCGAAATTTCTGGGATTTTTTTCAAAATGTTTCTTTGAATACTGCATTTAATAGAGAAATTCTTTGTTTTGAGAAGTAACTTACCAAAATACCAGTTGTATAATCCCCATGCCATGCATTTGACCACAACAATTGCTGTAAAATGTGATAATGAATAACAATTCTTAAAAGTAGATGTATACTAAGAAGGACATAAGTAAATCCCTATAGTTTGCAAGTAATGGCTTAGGATGTATTTCAGAATGCAGAACAGCATATAAATTGGATGTGAAACTTTTCATTCGCTATGAGTTTTGTTGTGGCCATATCTTCCATAAATGTTGTTGTCACTATGTTTTTACTCATTTGTGGGATGTGGGTATCGTGGGCTGGCCAACATTTATTATCCATCCCTAGTTGACCTTGAGAAGATGGTGGTGAGCTGCCTTCTTGAACCGCTGTCGTCCACCTGCTGTGGGTTGACCCACGATGCCATTAGGGAAGCAATTCCAGGATTTGGACCCAGTGACAGTAAAGGAACGGCAATATATTTACAAGTCAGGATGGTGAGTGGCTTGGAGGGGTACTTGTAAGTGGTAGTATTCCCATATATCTGCTGTCCTTGTCCTTCGAGATGGAAGTGGTCACGGGTTTGGGAAGATGCTGTCTGAGGATCTTTGAATTTCTGCAGTGCATTTTATAGATAGTACATACTGCTGCTACTGCGTGTCAGTGGTGGAGGGAATAGTTGTTTGTGGATGTAGTGCCTATTAAGCGGGCTGCTTTGTCCTGGATGGTGTCAACCTTCTTGAGTGTTGTTGGAGCTGAACCCATCCAGGCAGGTAGGGAGTATTCCATCACACTCCTGATTTGTGCCTTGTAGATGGTGGACAGGCTTTGGGGATCAGGAGGTGAGTTACTCGCTGTCGTATTCCTAGCCTCTGACCTGCTGTTATAGCCACTGTGTTTATGTGGTGAGTCCTGTTGAGTTTCTAATTAATGATAACCCCCAAGTTGCTGATAGTGGGGGATTCAGTGATGGTAACAACATTGAATGTCAAGGGGCAGTAGTTAGATCGTCTCTTATTGGAGATGATCATTGCCTGGCATTTGTGTGGACTGAATGTTACTTGCCATTTGTCAGCTCAAGCCTGGATATCAACTAAATCTTGCATTTGAACATGGACTGCTTCAGTGTCTGAAAAGTGTCTGAATCATGCTGTTCATTCTGTAAAAATCGGCAAACATCCCCACTTCTGACTTCTGATGGAGGGACGGTCATTGATGAAGCAGCTGAAGATATTGAACATAGGACAGTACCCTGAGGAGCTCCTGCAGAGATGTCCTGGAGCTGAGCTGTCTGACCTTCAACAACCACAACCATCTTCCTATGCGTCAGGTATGGCTGCAACCACCGGAGAGTTAGTCCTCCTGCTACCTATTGATTCCAGTTTTGCTGGGGCTCCTTACTGCCACACTCGGTTGAATGCAGGTTGATGTCAAGGGCTGTCACTTTCACTTCATCTCTGGAATTTTGCTCTTCTGTCAATGTTTGAACCATGTCTGTAATGAGGTCAGGAGCTGAGTGGCCCTGGTGGAACCCAAACTGGGCGTCACTGAGCGGGTTATTGCTGAGCAGGTGCTGCTTGATAGCACTGTTGATGACGCCTTCCATCACTTTACTGATGATTGGGAGTAGACTGATGAGGTGGTTATTGGCCAGGTTGGATTTGTCCTGCTTTTTATGTACAGGACCTACCTGGGCAATTTTTCACATACGGGACATACCTGGGCAGTTTGATCTAATAAAGTCCCATTTTCTACCCAGCACAGAAACAGTTTCTCAATTGAACCTATCTTGATACAAGAGACACGATGAAAGGTACACCATTTCAATTGCGAAATATGCAGATTACAACTGTTAGCAGCAGTGTTAACCACTGAGCCCACAGTGGCATGGTAAATGTGAGGTTATGGGAACAGGATGAGGGTCTGGGTCTGGGTGTGGATTGGATGCTCTTCAGATGGTCACTGCAGACTCAGTGGACTGAATGGCCTCTTTTTGCACTGTAGGGATTCTAATTTGAAGTACACCACTGGTATGCAACTCAGCAAACCTCCAGCCTTTCATACCTTTGAAATATCATGCAGTGAGCATTCATAGTCACGCCCTATCAATAATGGAAACTACCAGCTCAGGTTCGAAGGCCAGGATATATTTAGCACAGCACACGTTATATGACCTATCATGGTATTTATTGGATATTCTAAACATGCTGTCCGTGAGGATATAAATTTAAACTACAGTTTAGGAATCCTGAGTGCTTGTAGCATTTATGTCACTCCAGTAACATATCAATTATCACATGATTTGACATAGGGGACTATGTGCTAATGGATACACTCCAGTTTGGGGCATTCTGTCATGTAGGCTAAACTGGGAAAGGCCACTTTCTAAGGCACCCCTGCTGTACTACACAGAGGAGCTGTAATCCAGGTATATATAATTTTAGCCTACTGCATTTATAGAGCCCCATGTATTAAGGTGAAAAGTTAAACTGTATTAGACTTAACAGTTCAAATTTGACATTGCATAACAAGTAATGTATAAATATTTCAGTTTGAAGATTGCCAGATCACTCCATTTTTGAAATATGTGGATATTACTCACTTTACAAATTACAGTTCACTCGCACTTTCGAGATTGATGTTGATATATTGTCAGTTTACTCATTGAGTAGCAAAACTATATGCACAAGTCGATCTTAGTTTTGATTTATGGTGAACTAGCTAATCTCAAATGGGTGCATTGAGATAATAAAATTGGCCCCAGTCACCTGGATTAGACAAAGGTTGAAGAAGATTTGGTCCTGAACATTGTTGTTCTATAATTACAGGTTAAATGACATAGATGAAACAAAAATGTTATATATAAATAAATCGTCAAGTCATAATGATCTTTTTTCAGCATCATGTTAATTGTAGGATATAGAAAATAGAAGCTGATTTTCAGAAACGTTTCCAGTAATCCTTAACGGTTTGATTTGATTTATTGTTGTCATATGTACTTGGGTACAGTGAAAAGTTTTGTTTTCCGTGCACTACAGGCAGATCGTACCATAGAAAGATCATAGGGTGATTGAACAGAGCAAGGAATACAAAGTTACGGCTGTAAAGAAAGTGTGCAAGAAGTAAGATCAACATTAGATTTGAAATTTGAGAGGTCCATTCAGAAGTCTAATAACAGTGGGGAAGAAGCTGTTCTTGAACCTGTTGGTTATGTGTGTTTAAGCTTTTGTATCTTCTGCCTGATGGAAGAGATCATAACCAGGATGGGAGGGGTCTTTGATGATATTGGCTGCCTTTCCAAGGCGGTGAGAAGTTTAGGTGGAGTCAATGGATGGAAGTTTGGCTTGTAGTGATGCACTGGGCTGTGTTCAAAACTCTAGTTTCTTACAGTCCTGGGCAGAGCAGTTGCCGTACCAAGCCATGATGCATCCAGGTAGAATGCTTTCCATGGTGCATCTCTAAAAATTGGTGAGAGTCCTTATGGACATGCTGAATTCCCTTAGCCTCCTGAGGAAGAAGAGGCATTGTTCAGCCTTCTTGACCATTGCATCAATGTGGGTGGATCAGGACAGATTGTTGGTGGTCATCACTCCCAGGAGCATGATGCTCTCGACCATCTCCATCTCAGCTCCATTGATGTAGATAGGTGCGTGCCCTCCTCCTTGCTTCCTGAAGTCCATGATCAGTTCTTTAGTTTCGCTGACACTGAGGGAGAAATTTTTATCTTTACACCACGCCACAAAGCACTCTATTTCTTTCCTGTATTCTGTCTTGTAGTGATTATACATAATGGGCATTTAGCTGTAATATTGTTTGTTTTTTATGGACGTAAGATGTAAATCTGACTTTTTTGTGGTGATGCATATTTTACAGAAAAATTATTGCATTTAAAATATTATTGTCCCCAATGGCAAATGTTTTTTTAAACTATCTAGGACTTAAGTATGTAATGCAGGCATGTTCAATTTATGACTTTGTTAGCACACAAATCCCAATTCCGAGGCAGTCTTTAAAATCCAAGCCATTTAGTGTACTTGTATCACTTATTCACTAACTTGCCTTATTTGAATTAAGTAGGCTTAGTAAGTTAGAGTGGCTGCTTTTTTAGTGTTATCTCAATGGTAGATAAATCCTACATTTGAGCATCAAGATATGCAATGTAAGATAAATGTAAACTAATAGAAACGTAGGCTGGATATTTTATGTCCCTTCTGGGTGTGTTTTGGACAAGGGCCATATTAGTCAAGGCACTGAGTTCAAAGGCAAGGAGATTATAATGGAGCTGTATTTAACGTTCGTTCAACCATAGCTTAGAGTACTGTGTGCAGTTCAGGTTGCCACACTATAGGAATGATATGTTTGCAGTGGAGAGTGTACAGAAGAGATTTATTAGGATATTGCCTGGGCTAAAGTGATTCAACTATGAAGAGAGACTAGGTTGTTTTCCTTAGTGCAGAGAAGGCTGAATGGGGTTAATGTGTACAAAGCTTTGAGGGGCATAGACAAGGGAGAAATTTTTTTCTCCTTAGTAGACCAGTGGCAAAAGAACAGGAGGTTTAGCAGGACATTAGGAAATTGTTTATGACCCAGAGCTTGTGGATGCCTGAATGTCACTGCTGAAAAATGTGGTGAAAGTAGGAATTTAAGAACATTTTTAAGGCATTTTTAAAAGACATTTAAGAACAATTTAGATGAACACTTAAACAGTATAGCATAAAAGGATATGAGCCCACTGCTGGAAAACAGAGGTAGAATAGATGGCTGTTTGGTGATTGCCAGAGTGGGCTGAAGGCCTCTTTCTGTGCTGTAAAATTTCTATGACTCTCATATAGGTCAGATGGCTAGCCCACCGTATTCCACCCCCAAGTGGGTGGAATACGGTGGGCTATAGAGGGTGGCTGGCAACCAAAATCAGCAACTTGTTGAAAGCTCATTTGACCCCAAATATTATACAGTCTGCACTATAAAATGTTTGATGTAAGTAGCTGGTCATGTGTGGGCAGACTTTTTTTAATTAATATGATTAAAATGGGGAAGTGGGGCACTATCATTGGAAAATGTTCCTTGCCCATTGGAGAGGCACCACTGATAAGATGATACCTCCTGTCTCATCTTATCCATCCATAATACTAAACGCAGCCATCTGATCCTCCCTATCCTCCTCCAAAACTCAATACCTATCCAAAGCCTCAGGACAACATCCTTTGGAATGCATCTTGTGGGCCTACCTGCAATTCCAACCATTGCACGTGATGGAGTTTTAGGATGATTCGAGCTGCTGGGCAATCTGATCATTTATGGAAGTAACTCCCACCAGGAGCTTGTTTACCCCATCCACAGTATCTTATGTCTGTGGAATGAGCTTGTTCTTTTCGTTTAGGGTGGGTGGAGTTTCCAGCCCATAGATTTTAAACTTTCACATGTAATCCCAAGGTTCCCTCATAGGTCAAGTATACAACCATAGGTCAAAGCTTTGATTCCCCAATTTCAGCATATTGTGAGAGTGTTGCCTCAGCGGAGTTGTCCTATTTTGGATAAGGTATTTAACCCTTTTGTGAAGTACAGACTGAGCGGCTAGAAATGCAAAACATAGGTACCTACTGCATGAGGCAGGCATGAGTGCAGCATGACAGGTTTTCTGAGGACATTCTTTTACTATCCTTTTCGATCATCGATGGAAACATTTATAATGGAAAATCAAAAGTGAATGCAAATATAAAATAGTTAATATTTGGGATGTTGCACAAATGTATCACCTTCCTTGTTCTTTTGTCTTTATGTTATTCTTTCACTTTCTGCTAATGTTTATTTTTTTCCTTTTAGATGGAAGCTGCTGAGCCACATAGTCTGATGTGTTGGGGGGAAAGCAGCAGACGTAGATACAGGCTGCATTTGGGTGGGAGTTTGTGGTTAAAACGTAGGCCTTGGTAATGCTTTTCCCATTTTCTTCCCAGTTCTTTCTTTAGTCTTGTTGCTCACCTCACCCTTTTTCCTTCATTGCTTTTAACCTCCAAATGTGGCTAACAATGGGTAGAATTACCCACGCCTGTTCTGAAGAAGTCACACTGGACTCAAAACATCAACTAACTTTCTCTCGCTCCACAGATGCCAGATTTGCTAATTTTCTCAGCATTTTCTGGGATTGCCCCACACTAGAAACCTGAGTCCTTCCTCACCTTGCAATTTAATTTCTTCTTAATTTTGCTTCAAAAAATTAGCTTGACTATTTGATAGTTAGTTTGTTTCTTGGTTTCTTATTCGTTGTAAGTTATCAATTGAGAACTTGGTCAACTTCAAAATTGAAATGTTTCCATATGAACTACCTTGAAAACCTTTCTTCACTATATTGCTTTCTTCCCCATTCTCAGATTAATCCACTTTTTACAGAATATGAGCATAAGCTACAACAAAAATATATTTGGTTAACTATTGTTATTTCTCTGAAACACATGCAGTACTTCTGTTTATTATAAAAGGAAAAGCATTCAAATATCTTTTTTTTTTTTGTTGAAATTTATCCTTTTCTTTGCATAAACATAAGCAAAATATTCCTATGCTGCTGATTTGGCATTCTAAAAAAGTTAGGTATGTTTTGTGGAATTTAGGAGCTAGGACAGTGGGCCCTTCCACTGCCTGGAGAACCAGTGGCAGTTCTGTTGTGGCCATTTCTGGGAGCTCTATTGGTATTAAATACTGCACAGGCAGTCTGCTGGCTGCCCTTTGAATACCCAGCTTCAGCCGAGGGAATTTCCTTTCAGGGTGGTTGTGCCCTTTCGATCAGAGACTGGCAATTGCTTAGTACTAGCTGTGCCACTGGAAGTATTACAGTGAATCCAAGGATGAGGATCGGTCCTGGAAACCAGGTAAGGGGGCCAGTCAGGCAAGTGCCTGTAAGGGAGAAAAGCAAGTTCGTTATAAAGGACAGCCTTTCTGTAGATTCCTCCCCTGCCACAGTGAGTTCGTCCAGCATATCTGCCAGGGCTAACCTGGGAGTTTACTTATGTGGCACATACAATTGCACAGTTCCAAATGTACACAAGCAAAGCCCATTATGAAGGTGACCATTGGATTTAATGATGGTATTTAAAAAGGTTCTCACAAAAATGTGGTATAAACGTGGAAGTGTGAGTTATTTAATGAGACAAAGATTGAGCTATATATAGTCCTAAATTAGAAAATTCAAATCCTGTACAAATGACCTACATGTATAAATTAAAATTGTGTTTTATTTAGCTAGTCACATTTAAACTAAAGAATTTCCATTTCTGTAAAATGTGTTTGTTAATTTCAGGCATCATGTGGAGTTTGACAACCTGAAGACTGAGTGCATTAAGGCCCTTGAAGAAGCAAAGAAAGAAAAGGTAAAAATAAAATCAATTTGGTAATTCAGCTGGATCAGTGTGTCTCAATCTTTTTCATGATATTTCTCTCATGTTAGATTGCCTTAACTAATCTATTAGAAATGGAGAAGTTGAAAGTTGAACAAGAAAGAAAGAAAGCAATTCTTGCACAAGATGCATTAAAAGAGAAGGTATTTAACTGATCTTTATATTCTTAATCAGAATTAGCACTTGGTATATCTAATTGATGGTTGGCTGCATGAATACTAGGAATTGCAATTATTGACATAAATTAGAAGTGTTTGGACTACATCAGAGTTTCAAGTTTTTCAAGTCCTGTGTGTATTTTGATGCATTTTCACTAGTTCTGTGTTTCTTCCAAAGGAACGGAAGTTGTTTACTAATCCAGGGCTGGAACCAGCGTCGAGTACTCCAACACTCTCTCGATCTAGTTCTGTCAGCGGTGCTGAGATGGCATCGTTGCAGGCTTCTATAAACTCTCAGGTGGGTATACCTGATGCTACAGTAACGATTTGGGGAGAGACATGAAAAATGACAGGATGGAACAAAGAAGCAAGAACAGAAGTACCTGGAATTATAGCGTACGTTTAACCTGATTAAGAGATTTAGGTAGGTGTTGGAAAACAAACAGTAAGATTAATGGGTATAAGCTCGAATTTGAAGTTTGTGTCTAGTAGCATCCAACAGGGGGCCCTCAGCTATAAAATAGATTAATTACTTAGATAACTCAGTAGAGTTGTACATCCAAGTTTGTTGACTCAGTGATAAGTGGCAATGTTGAGAGCAAAAAATTACAAAGATGCATTGATAGTTGAAGTGACCGGAGAAACTGGGGCGGGGGATGTCAGTGTAGATAATTGTGAAGTCTTCCATTTTAGACTAAAATGGATAGTTCATGACATGTTGTAAATGGCAGAAAGCTAGGAATATTAGACAACTAAAGAGTTGTAGGGATCAGAGTACCAAAGATGAATGCAAATTATGTGACAACTTTGTATAAACTAAGCTTGTACGCCCCAGAATATAGAAAATTAAGGAACATATATGATTAGGTTTATTTGTATTTTGACAAGAACTGTTCAAGGATGATAGAAAACAACCTTGGAATTAGAACCAGGTCAATCAAAAAAATGGAGGTTAGGGAGCATTTTGTATATAGCTTGATAGAAGTGTGGAACTGTATGCTGCAGAAAAAGAATGCAAGCGAAAAGTCAGTGCTATTTTAATGATTTTTGCATGTGAATGTGAGAAATGTTTCCAATAAAGGATATTATGGGATATGGGCCAAGATGAGTAAGTGGGATTGGGATACAGATCAACCATGATCTTATTAAATACTAGAACAGGCTTGAATCACCCATTATTCCTATGTACTGAACACCAACAAACTCTTCCAGCAGATGTGGTTGAGGGAGGAGGCTGTGAAAATAACCAAGCAATGAGGAGTTGAACATGAGGATGAGCCCTTTAAGCTTTTTGAAGTTAGAAGGCTCGTAGATTATCTTCGCTGGGTAGAGGGCCTGGCAATCTTATCCATTTCAGGGTAAGGAATAAAGGAGCAAAAATGGAGCCCAGAACAGTACAGGCTTCCCTTCCAATCTTTTCCTCGTTTTAGGGTGGCAGTACCTCCATATTCTTGTAGCTGTCTAATTTGTTTTTGAAGTAGTTGGTTATATTATGCCAATTTCCTTTAGCTGAAGAAAATAGCACTCTATGGTGGGAGAGGAATTTCTCTGTCCTCTGAACCTTACCTCATCAGCATCAGGAAATCCTCAACAACGAGGAAGAAGGAAACTTTTAGTCAGCACTTATCGTTTTATGGAGCTATTCAGAGGGTCTGGGGCTTTAGACGCATTTCATTTACATTGGCAGTTTGTCAAGCAACATTTGTGGGAACAGGGTTTGGTTGGTAAGGGATTAATTTTTGAGTAGTGAGATTCCTAGGTGGAGTGTCGACAATCAAGACGTTAATGCCACTATGTGAATTGATAAAAAAGAATTACAAATATCCATGCCTGCAGTCAATATTTTTAAAGCCTGAAACCGATGATTATGTCATTGCACTCCACAATACAAACTCCTGTGTCATCTCACCTTCGATCCATTGAAGAAGTCTCCATATTGAACTGAAATACTAGTTACATATGTAGGTGATATAACATATATTTCTATAATAATCATAGGAAAAACATTACAGAACATCATCATCAGTCACTGTATAGATAGCGTAAATATGTGCGCACAAACTACTGGCAGCTTCATTAATATTCAATATTAAGCTAAAGACCGGCATCAGTGTTTTTAATTATTCATTAACAATTCAGCTTATTATTTGTTTCACACTTCTGAATGTTGTGGTGTTGCTGTGCATCAAATTGGGATAGTGGGCAATACTAATCTGAAAGTATTGGCATAGTTAACACAGTAGTCTTAACAGAGCTTCTGATAGTTTGTGATTGAAAAAGCTGCTTCTGATAATTGATTTTACTTTAAATGAAAGATTAGATCTGTTCTACATTTTAATTTGGATTCCTGAAGTCAGCATCACAAGGCTATTTTTTCCTAAAACTGGTTATAGTATTGTAGAGTCTGATAAAACTGAGAGCCAAGAGTCACCTACCGACGGAACAGGTCCATGGCAAATACCATCTCCCTGGCCCTACACTTATCCCTGGAACATCTGGGCAACAAGGATACCTGCATCAGGCTCCTACTTATTGACTACAGTTCCGCTTTCAACACCATAATTCCAAACTAACTCATCTCCAGACTCTGGGACCTACGTCCCTTCTGAAACTGGATTCTCTACTTTGTGACCACCAGACTGCAGTCAGTAAGGATAGGTGACAATGCCTCCACAATAATTCTCAACCCGGTGCCTGTGAAGGCTTCTTATACTCCTTGTACACGCACAACTGTGTGGCCACATTCTGCCCCAACTCCATTTACAAGTTTGCTGATGACACCATTGTTATTGGTTGGATCTCAAATGACGACGAGATGGAGTGCAGCAAAGAGATTGAGCGCTTAACGGCAGGGTGTAAAGACACCGTCTCTCCGTCAACGTCAGCAAAAAAAAGGAGCTGGTCATTGACTTCAGGGAGTGGAGTGGAGGCCCCCTGCCATCTGCATCAATGGTGCTGAGGTGGAGATGGCCAAGAGCATTAAGTTCCTGGGTGTGATGATCACCAACAATCTGCCCTGGTCCATTCTCATTGACGCTATGGTCAAAAAAGCACAGCAATGCCTCTACTTCCTCTGGAGGCTAAGAAAATTCGGCATGTCCATGAAGTCTCTTATTGAAAAAAAAAGTTTTGTAGATGCACCATAGAAAACATCCTATCTGAATTCATAACAGTGTGGTATGGTAACTGCTCTTCCCAAGACTGAAAGGAACTACAGAGAGTCATGAACACCGCCCAATCTGTCATGCAAACCAACCTTCCGTCCATTGACTTCACAAATACTTCCCGTCCCATTGGGAAATCAACATAATCAAAGGCCCCTCCAATCCTGGTTATGCTTCGTTCTACCTTCTTCCGTCGGGCAGAAGATATAACAATTTGTACACACGTACGAATAGATTCAAGAAAAGCTTCTTCCCCACTGTTATCAGACTTTTGAAAGGACCTATTTAACGTTAATGTTAATCTCTCTCTGCACCTTCTTGGCAGCTTTAACACTGTATCCTGCACTCTGTTCTGTTACCCTGATGCACTGTACCGTCTGCCTGTAAAGCACATAAGACAACACTTTTCATTGTACCTCGGTACGTGTGACAACAATAAATCCAAATCGGAATCCAAATCCATCTGGGGAGGCTCCAGAAACAAAATTTAACAGCAGAAATGTTGGGAAGTAAAATCCAGCATTATATAAAATCAGCTTGAAAATTGCTGCCAGAATCCTAGCACAGAGGAAGAAACATCTAATGTTGATCTTGCCATTTCTATTCTGTTGAAATTGATATAAATGACTAGTGCAGTGATGATAGAAACAGGTATTGTTATGATACTACATTAATATGTGCACACTGTTGCAGTAAGTAGCTGATTAATTTAATCCCTATTCCACTCAGTGGCACTCTTTAAAGGTTCTATGTCATTGTAATTTGAGTGCACCTAATGGTGGAGGAAGATTTGTCTGAACTAATTTGTCTCAATGTACTTCAGAGACAGTAGGTTTGATTTTAACTACTCATCTTGGCAGAAACCAAAGTTAGATGGTACAATTAAAATGGAGCACAGGGTGTGCTCACTTCTTTATAATCTGATCAGACTGACAACAATTTTGAATTGCTGGAGGACAGGATATTTGGCCCAGGATCATCATCTTCAAATATATAAATCAGACACCAGGGCCACCATCAGAGCCTGATGTGCCGTTTTAACCTGAGGCTTGTGTGTGGAAAGCAGCATTACCTTCCTCACCTGGTAAAACCTGTCAGGAGCAATAGCCTGAAGAATAGAAGGATCAGTTGTACATTTCCTTTTTTGTTTCTACTGCTCCTTCTAGGCCTCCACTGCTCCAGGCCTCCTCTTCCTGCTCCTGCTTCTAGCCAAATCTAGGATTTCAGCCTCCGAGTACTTGGTTTGTGCCAGGAACTTTATCCCACTGGCAACCCCCTACGACCCAATTTTGAAGGCTGATTAGCAACCTCCCACCAACTTATTTAAGCCCAATTATCATTGTTGTGTTTGATTTTTCTTTGTCTGTTCATGGGATGTGAAGATTGCTAGCAAGACCAGCATTTGTTGCCTTTGGAACTGAGTGGCTTGCTAGACAATTTCAGTTAAGGTAGGGGCGGCGCAGTGGCTCAGTAGTTAGCACTGCTGTCTCACAGCACCAGGGAACCAGGTTCAGTTCCACCCTTGGGTGACTGTCTGTGTGGAGTTTGTACATTCTTCCTGTGTCTGTGAGAGTTTTCTCTAGGTGCCCCGGTTTCCTCCCACATTCCAAAGATGTGCAGGTTAGGTGGATTGGCCATGCTAAATTGGCTCATAGGTCCAGGGATATTTAGGTTAGGTGGGTTAGACATGAAAAATGCAGGGGAAGGGGAATGGGTCTGGATGGGATGCTCTTCGGAGGGGCGGTGTGGACTTGTTGAGCTGAATGGCCTGTTTCCACACTGTAGGAACTCTATAACTCATAAGTCATGGAGTCAGTTGTCGGCCAGGCCAAGTAAGGCCATTAGTAAGGCCATCTAAGGTTGCCAAGTGGGAAGGCGTTGGTCTCGTAAACCAAAGAACGTGGGTTCAATCATCACCCGTGCCTAGCAGCGAATTGGTTAATGTTGGAGCTGAAGTGCCCATATTTGGCCTTTATGCGGCGGCTCAGTGGTTAGCACTGCTGTCTTACAGCACCAGGGACCCAGGTTCGATTCCACCCTCAGGCGACTGTCTGTGTGGAGTTTGCACATTCTCCCTGTGTCTGCGTGGGTTTCCTCCGGGTGCTCCGGTTTCCTCCCACAGTCCAAAGGTGAGTAGGGTAGGTGAATTGGCCATGCTAAATTGCCCATAGTGTTCGGGGATGTGTAGATTGGGTGGATTACAGGGGAATGGGTCTGGGTGGGATGCTCTGAGATTTGGTGTGGACTTGTTAGGCCAAAGGGTCTGTTTCCACACTGTAGGGATTCTATTCTATTCTAGTGAGTCAGATGGGCATTTAACAATCAGCGATAGTTGTTTCATGGTCATTTTACTCAACTCACTTTATATTCAGATTAATTTAGATTCCACTAGCTGCAATGGTAGGATTTTAGCCTATATTCCTAGAGCAGCATCCTGGGCCTCTGGGATACTATATCACAATATCCTTGTCTTTTCCAGTGTTGTACTCTGTTGAGCTGATGCTTCTCTCACTTCACTTTTACCATCACCTGTAGGTCCTTACTGGTAACTGCATTTCTCCAGTTAAATTTTTAAACTGTTTTTCTTGCTGTAAGGTTTATTGCTCCACTAAAAATCAAACAAATCCTTAGATCAGAAACATAACATGACAAAAATAGAGAGAAAATCAGACTGATAAATGGAAAAGTAAGATCAAACAAATTGAACAAACAAAATGGGAGTTTAAAAAAATCAAAAAAGGTAAAATGGTGAAAAAGTGGAATTAAGTAATGTCAAAATGTTCAGGAAGGAAAATAATACATTGCTGAAGAAAGATCAAAGAAACATTTAAGCTGAAGTTTTATTTTAGTTGAGAACAGAGAGAGTAATGAAGGTAGAAATGTGAAGATGGTATAACTCCACGGTGAGTTAAAGCTGTAATATGTTTCATGAATATGTAAGATCCCTATATGCATACACATAGTTTAAACATTCTCCTTGTCGTTTGGAAATTTTTCTCAGACTGTTTCAAAATCCATTCTTTGATTGAATAAAAATGAATAGAACCAAGAAGTAAAAATAAACATGTTTTAATACTGAACTGTGACAGAATACAGTCTCTGCTGAAAAAAAAATAATGTAAGCAAAATAACAAAAACAAGTTGCTAGAAAAGCTCAGCAGGTCTGCAGGCATCTATGAAGAGAAATCAGAGTTAAATCACTGGACCCGAAATGTTAACTGTGATTTCTCTGCACAGATGCTGACAGACCTGCTGAGCTTTTCCAGTAACTTCTGTTTTTGTTTCTGATTAATAGCATCTGCAGTTCTTTCGGTTGTTTTACAAAGAATTTTACATTAAAGTTTGAATATTAACGTGTAAGATATGTTTTACAGGATGATTTATTTGAACATTCATTTGCAACAATGACTGCATCAACAAGTGGTAACAACTTATATGAAGCCCTCAGAATGGGAGCAGGATCAAGCATATTTGAAAATATGCAGTCTCAGCTGAAGCAAAGAGAAGGAGAAATTGCACAATTGCAGGTGGGTTTCAGTAAAATGATTAATGCAGGATGTTGTGAAATTGGGTAGCGTACTTGTGGATTGGGAGGCAGGAAATTGATATTTAGTGTTTGTAAAATACTAAGGAGGGTCCCTTTAGAAAATGATGTGCTTTTTCTATGCTTAGAGATTTAAAATAGATATCTGTGAGCAGCAGCTTGAAAGTTTGTAAGTACACAGAGAGCACCCGAATTGAAACATTTGTATCAAAAAGCTGTACAGTTAACAGGCAAAGCAGCAGTTTTTACCAAAGTTTTGAATTTAGCCAATCAATTTGAACCAGGCACCTAGATACCAAAAATCAATTAAATTTAAAGTCTGAAGGTTTTGACAACATAGGACCAATCCTAATATAAGAACTTGATATGTCATCAAGGGTATAAAAGAGGGCAGTTGGACAAAGACAGGAGAGCTAATGGCCATTTGCCAGAGTTAACAGCTCTCAAGAGAGAATTGCTGGCTCTCATAGTATTTTTTAAGTCTTGGAGAAAGCACCATTTAAAAAAACAAAGGTACCTATGGCACAACTAGGTAATATTCCTGACAGAAGAATCAACTGAGAAGGCATTTCTGATAGAACCTTCGACGGAGAAGGCACAAAACATTCTGGAAGACATGTAACTTGGCTGTATTTTCAACAGACTAAATTCGATTTTTTTAATTTTATGTAAGTGGGACTTGTATTTATTGGAACAACATATCATTAGAATCTTGTTTAATTTGGGAATAGTTAGTACTTAAAAGGGATTTATTTGGTTTGTTAATAGTTTAGTTAATTTGCTCACTGTTAGTTAGATAAATAAGTTGTTACTTGTTGATTATAAAGTGAGTGTCAAGGATTTGTTTTAGTTAACCACTAGAAGTTGCTGAAAGGCAGGTTACACCATTTTCCACACACCATTTACAGATTATAGGGCGAGGTGCTTCTCTTTGGGTGTTTCAGTTTTAGTTCTCGGGAGTGGGGGGCAGGGTCAACCTCCGCTTCATAACAAGAAAGACATTTGTATCGTGGTTAATATACGGTTTCCTCCAAACTTACAAAATTTTGACTGCACTCTGCAGCAAATTTATGTTGATTTTTTACTGCTATATATAATTCCCCTTAGCTACAGTCAACTGCATTTAGACCAGTCCTGCTCTTTTGAAATCTCCAGTGCAGTCAATTTCCAAGAGACTGCCTATATTTGCAATACTTTCCTTTATTACATTCCTTGCCACTACCTCTCCTTATTCTTAAATGGGCTGTGTTTTCAATTGGTTAGGAAACCTGATTTATTGGAGGGTGAGCAAGATACACAATCATTTCTTCTACTTATTTGTACATAGATTTGATATAGTTTAATGACAGCCTTTCGATCTTTATTCTCTCTGAGAATAATATTGCAAATAAGCTAAATCAAGCTTTTTAAACTTTTACAGCTTGAAATTTCTAACCTTGAAAAGACTCGAACTATCATGGCTGAAGAACTGGTCAAGTTAACAACTCAGAATGATGAACTACAAGAGAAGCTAAATGAAATTCCCAAGTTACGTGTACAGCTTAGGGTGTGTCTTGTCTTTTCACACTACGTATTTTATTTGAAAGTGTTGTTAACCTGTAATATATTCAGTGATTAGCTGAGTTATATAAATTAAGAAGGTCTTGAGTTCAGTTGCTTGTTTCTACTGGGTTAGCAGATCTCTCTCGCAGTGGTGATAAGCTCAGTTGTGGTAATGGAGTGCAACTGATCTCTGTGCTCCTGGGAGTGGAAAAGGGAATCTGTTGTGCATTCCCACTCCCTATCACTTTACTGGGAGACCTCTGGAAGTGCTTGAATGTGGATCTTGGTGAGTACAGGGTCAGACATCTCGGTGCAAAGCTTTCTGATCCTCACCGTCAAGACCATCAGATGAGTAATAATTATCTGGCTAACATACTTGACACCTTGAATATTATCCCACCATGCAAATCAATTAATTTGGCACTGTAGAGCGAAAAGAGATGGAAGGTGGAACTTCAACAGTAAAAGGAAGAAAAAATATTTGCAGATGGACAAATGTGAGCTAGTTAAATTTTGAGTTTGTTCTTTTAAGTTTTTATTTGATTTGTGCTGTACTCTTTAGGCAGGAGATAAGAGTATTCAAGTATTATAGCTGCTATCACACCCAACCTCTACTTGAATGTATCATTGTTTTAAAATATTGTTTTATACATTTTAGTTTATTTTACCCATTGGTTCCTACCAGTTCACATCTTCACAGTGAACAGATGAATACTTGGCAAGCTGGGATCACATACCTTGTGTTCTTATTCAGCACTGCCTATTTGCTTCAGTAATTGTCCCCTTTTTTTTGTTTTTTGCATGGCTGTGCATGTGCATTCAAGGGGCCAACTTGTGTGTGGGAACTGTTATAGCTACACAGCTTAGCAGAAACAATGGTTGGAACAATTCCTTACAAAACCATATGTTGGTTTTTGTTTATTTTTATTTTCTGTGTTTTATACGAAGTTACTGTCCAGGAGCATTGGAGCATTATGTTTTATTATTTTATAAGCACTTAATAAATACAAGTTGAAGTTGATTGAAAAGCTTTGGTTAAACTCAAACCTGGAGTTCAGGGCAGACCTTGGGAATGGATAATGAATCAACTGAATGATAGAAACCAAAAGATTAGAGAAGTTATGATGGGGAGATGAGGGAGAAATGTTTAATGGAGTGAAACAGGGATTGAGCTTGGAGTTCCGCTTCTAATTTAATTGATGTCAATAACTTGGAATCGCATGCAGACAAGTTAAAAGTAGAATTAAAAATTAATTGCATACATCGTACAATGTGTTAAAATGACTGAAGGATAAAAATGAAGGAGAAATGTCATGGCACACCAATATATAGCAGCTATCAACAAAACCAGTGGAATGCTGAATTCTATAGTGTAAATGGGAGAATGCACATCTGAAAAAGTCATGATCAAATATTTTGAGTCTTTGGTCATACTGTGACATGACTACTTCTCCAGTTGCAGCTGTTGAGGAACATGGGAAATGTTTAACCTAAAGGCCTGATTTCTGTGAAAAATACCAGAATCCTGGACTTCATGGTCCTGAAAGGAGCAGCCTGTGAAATAATCTTGCAGAGCAAGGTATATTGGTAAAATAACATGCAAAATATAAATCCCGAAAGTTACTTCATACTGAATTGTGAGAAGTTGGGCAAAAGGACTCAGGTTTAAATTAGTGGAAAACAAAATTCAGATGAATATCAAAATTATTCTTCATCGAGAGTGATCAATAAATGCAAAATATAATTCCATAAAATTATCTTCAACTAAGTTGTGAAAAGTTTGATGAGAAGACAGCTTAAAACTAGTAAAAGACAAAATTGGCTACAGTATCAGAAAATTACTCTTCATAACAGAGTGATGGAGTAGGTCTTTGGAGGAAGTAACAGATACAGTAGTCTTGGGAACTATTTAGGAAACATTTGGATGCCACTATGTAAGGTTTTGCGGATATTGAACAAAAATGAGCCAACAAATCTTCCACGTTTGTATTTACCTTGTTATCACGCTCTTTGCCAATGTGGATATTTATCAGGAGGCATCTAAGTCAAAAATTGCAGTACTTGGCAGCTAAATAAGATTCCAATCTTGAATATATTGATATCCAGAAAGCTACAGGTTTCTGATCAGCATGTTCCACAAAGCCATTTGTTGGTAACAGTTAAAATATTTCTGTTGAATCAAAGGGGGAAAATAATTCAGTCTTTTACAGTGGAAAACAAATGAATAACTTAAAACGTGATCTACCATATCAGGAGGTTATTTCATTACTTTTCAAATTTAATGTACTCATTAACTCATATGTACTCTCTATTTGGAGAGAATTTGCTATTATGATTGTAGTTATTTTTGAACATCAAATACTTTTTTGAAATAGGTTATAAACTTACACAGAACTATTGAAATTATAGAAATTATATATTGTAGTTAACAATAATGTTAATTTTAAACTCCAAAATTGTAAAACTCTGAAGTTATAGTTACATAATGTTGCTATTGCACCGTTGCGACAATACTGTGGCCTTAAGAGATGTATTTTGTCCTTTTTTTAATGAAGGAATGTTGAGACAGTGGTGAGATTGGTCTGCTCAAAGCCAATACATAGTTTGGGTTATTTTTGAAGTTGGAAAAAATAGAAGTAGTCTGAATGGATGGGGTCAAGGCTCCCACGAATCAGGATTTTTAGTTTTAGCTTTAAGTAGTTACTGGCTTCTTGAAGCTAGATGTGGAAGCTCTTATTCCTGTTCTCTGTTGTAGCTAAAATCTGGATTTCTCTTCCTATTACTAGAATTGCATGTGAAACAATCTATTTTACTGAATCTGCCTTTGCCAAGGGTGTGTTATGGGATTTTACTTTATTGGGACAGTTAGTAATCAATATTATTTTGTTAAACATTTCGATAGAGTTACAGTTAAGCCAATTCTTCTTTTTGTCTATTTTAACTGTAGTGTAAAAATATGGTATGTTTTGCTTAAAGTTGAGTAGTTTGACTAATCAAACTGCATCTCGAATGCAACGCATAAAAGTTACCTTTAAAAAAAGAAAAACTTTGGGTCTTGGCTTCTTAATATATTTTGAGGGGTTTTGGTCTGCTCCACAACATTGTATAGTACAACTGGAAGAAAAATCTACCTATTCCAAGGTCAGACCAGAGCCCTGATGCTCTAATTAATAAATGTAAATAAATGTTTTGTGGGCTCAGTGGACTTTGATGTCAATGAGCATGATTGTGCTTTGCCTACAAGATAACTTTTGTCAACTTACATTATAGCTAGGATTCAATTAAATGTTGCATGATTTTTACAAAGTCGGGCAGTGTTTAACAACAGCTTTTAAATATTTATGATTCTTTGAAAAGGCCAAGAGTTATAAAATTTACAAAAAAGTGTACATGTAAAGTGATTTATGCCAAATTATTGACCGAACTGATCTAATTTGCTTTTCAGGATATTGATCAACGGTACAATACTATCCTTCAGATGTATGGTGAAAAAGCAGAGGAAGCCGAAGAACTGCGACTGGACTTGGAAGATGTGAAAAACATGTACAAAACCCAGATAGATGAATTGTTGAAACAGCGGTTAACCTGATTTGCTTTATCTCAGTAAACGTGATATTTCAGATTTTTTTCCCCAGTTTCCCTGAATGTGAAATGCAATACTGCTGACAAATATTTGGCATAAGATGCAAATGTATGATTGTAAATATGAACTGTATTCTTTAGTGCTTTTTGTTAATCATTTGTTGCCTTAGAAACAAAAACTGTACAGTACAATATAGCTCGGCTGGAAAAAAAAGTGTGATGGTGTAAGAGAAGTACATAATATGAAGGATTCAAGTGCAATATTATGAGTAAACCTGATTTACAGCTGACTGTGCAGATAAACATATAACATTCTGAAAAATTCAGTTTTCTGGACAGAATTGTACTTCTGAACACAAGATGGACCAATTTTATGGCAAACTCAATTCACTGGGCTCATAGGTTTTAAGTTTCACAAAACATTGTCTGCTAGAGGAAAATATTTCAGTAAATCAAATATCCAAACACTGTATGCTACACTGGTAGATACTTTACAGAAGTAAATTAAAAATAAGTTCAAACTAAAGCATGTTGCATTTTATTGAACATTCTAGTTATTTCTAAATTCTAAATACAAAGATTTTACAGTTACACAGTTTGAGTATTTAAACAAAATGATGTTGAAATGATAAAGATAATGTATTGCTGAAAATAGGCTAAAAAGTAAAAAATTTTCTTTTGGCCTACTTTTGCTAATAGGTACACATATTAGTATACAATTTTAAAACTCCATCGTGATCTGTGTAGGACACGTGCATAGTAACATTAGATCTTTCTTGGTGCTATATTCTGTGCATTGAAAAAAATTAAAAATTCTTTATTTAAAATAATTTTCTATTACTTGAATTCATAATCTGTGCTATTATACTTTCAAACAGTAGGTTTAAAATGTAAGTAATTTAATTTGTGTAATACTGATGGGGTTTGGGGTAATAAAGTCTCTTAACTGATTTACTGTCTTGTACTCTGACTTGGATGAATTTGGCATCTTTCATTCATTGTAATACTTGGGGAAAATGCTACATTTATTCAATAAGGCTGGAACCTAAAGAGCATAAATTTATTCTTGTTAACATAGTTTTAAAAATGGGAACAAAGGAAATTATTTTATCTTTATTTTCAGGCCAGTATAGTAGGCAAACTGTTCCAGTTACCTCCACCACTTTTAAAGTAATATTTTTGTCCCTGTTTTTTAGTGTATTTGTAAACAATACATCTCAAAACTATTGGTTAGATTTTAACAAAATGCGGGCCATACCTTACCTGTGTTCCAAGGAAGAACTGATTCATTGTTGATTAAATTGTAGTTTGGGATCCAAATCCTAGAAATTTGTTTTAAAGGATCCATTATCATTGAGAGAGAGAGAGCACAACTTCACAAATGTTGTCTTTTTAAAAAAAATTTTAAATGATTATTGTAAAATATTGTGGATTGTCTCAGCTGCTGCAAAAGGATTAGTTACAGCTATCAAAATGTGAGCTGCTTTTTCAGAGAAAGTTGTTGGATATGGATTGGCCTGAAGGTTTCTCAGTGAGCTGAAAAAGGTCTTAATAAAAAGATTTTATTTTATAGCTTTGGAGTTACAAACCATCAACCAAGCAAGGAAAAACCTCAAGGAAGAGCTGCGTAATTGAGTTAACACAAAATGATAGGAGTAATGGCTTGACCGGCTTCCCTCTCTCAGCCTCTTCATCTCCAATAGCTGCCACAACACCAATTGCCTGAATCTCTCCATCCGTCTCACTTACTCCAACCTCTCCCCGTCAGAACGTGCAGTCCTCCGGCCCCTTCGCTGCAACCCCAACCTCACCATTAAACCCGCCGACAAGGGCGTGTGGTGCTGGTATGGCGAACTGACCTCTACATCACTGTGGCCAGACACCAACTTTCTGACACCATCTCCTACCGTCCCCTCAATCATGACCCCACCCCTGATCACCAAGCCATCTCCCATACCATCAACAACCTCATTACCTCTGGAGATCTCCCATCCACAGCCTCCAACCTGATAGTTCCCCAACCCCACACCGCCCATTTCTATCGCCTACCCAAAATCCAATAACCCGACTGCCCCGGTCAACCCATTGTCTCTGCCTGCTCCTGCCCCACTGAGTTCATCTCCTCCTACCTTGACTCCATTTTTTCTCCTTTTAGTCTAGGAACTCTCAACCTACATTCGGGACAAAACCCACGCCCTCCACCTTTTATAAAACTTTCAATTCTCTGGCCCCCAGTATCTCATCGACATAGACGTTCAGTCCCTGTATGCCCATACCCCCATGGGTATGGCCTAAAAGCACTCTGCTTCTTCCTCTCCCATAGGCCCAACTAGCCCCCCTCCACAAAACTCTTTCACTTGGAGGAACTGGTCCACACCCTCAACAATTTTTCCTTTGATTCCTCCCACTTCTTGCAAACCAAAGGGGGTGGCCATGGGCACCCATATAGGCCTGAGCTATATCTACCTCTTTGTAGGATTCATGGAACAGTCCCTCTTCAACAACTAAACTGGCATCATCCCTCACCTCTTTCTCCACTACATTGATGACTGTACCGGCGCTGCCTTGTGCTCCCACAAAGAGCTTGAATAGTTCATAAACTTCACCAACACCTTCCACCACACACTCAAATTAACCTGGACCATTTCTGACACTTCCCTCCCCTTCTTGGACCTGTCTGTCTCCATCTCCAGTAACCAAATCACCACTGACATCCATTTCAAACCCAATGACTCCCACAATTACCTTGACTACACCTCCTCTCACCCATCCTCCTGCAAAAATGCTATCCCACACTCTCAATTCCTCTGCCTCCACCGCATCTGCGCCCAGGATGAGGCATTCTACTCTTAGAACTTCCCAGATATCCTCCTACTTTTAGGGACCACAGTTTCCCCTCCTCTGTAATTAAAGATGCCCTCAACTGTATCACTGCCATTTCCCACACGTCTGCCCTCAAACCCTCTCCCCCACAACAACAATAAGGATCGGGTCCCCTTAGTCCTCTCATACCACTCATCCAACCTCCGTATACAATGCATCATCCTCCAACATTTCCATCACCTACAATCAGACCCCACCACCCCTGTCCTCTTTCCACAGGGACCATTCATTCTGTGACTCCCTTGTCAGCTCCACGCTCCCCACCAATCCCTCCACCACACCCGGTACCTTTCCCTGCAACTGTAGGAGGTGCTAGACCTGCGTCCCTCCACCTCAACTCCATCCAAGCCCCCAATCAATTCTTCCAAATCCAGCTGAAATTTACCTGCACTCCATCTAACCTCATCTACTGTATCTGTTGCTCCTCATGTGATCTATATATCAGGGAGACTAAACGCAGACTCAGGGTTTGGTTCGCAGATCACCTGTACTCTGCAAGGACCAACAAACCTGACCTTCCGGTTGCCATCCACTTTAACTCTCCCTCCCATTCCCCTGGTGACAGTCCATCTTTGGCTTCCTCCACTGTCAGAGTGAGGCCAAATGTAAACTGGAGGAACAACACCTGATATTTCACCTTGCGAGCTTACAACCCAATGGCCTGATAATTGACTTCATCAGCTTCAAAATCTCTCCTCCCCTAACCTGTCCATCTTCCGACTCGCCTATCCACTCCACCCTTCCCACTGACTAACCACAATAACCTCCTACCTACATCACCAGCTTCAAAATCTCTCCACCCCCAACCTGTCCATCTTCCTACTCACCTGTCTGCTCCATCCTTCCCACTGACTGAATCCAATAACCCCCTATCTGCATCCACCTATCTCCATCCCAACTACCCTCAACCGGCCCCACACTCCTCCCTCTATTTATTTCTGGGCTGCCGTTCCCCTCCCCAGTCCTGATGAAGGGTCTCAACCAAAACATTGATTTCCCTGCTCCTCGGATGCTGTCTGACCTGCTGCCCTTTTCCAGCTCCACATTTATTCACTCTAGCTTCCAGCATCTGCAGTCCTTACTGTCTCCAAGGTGTAATGGCTCTACTGAGTATCATCTTGTTTGTAATTATTTTGATTCAGCCACAATGGCAGAATGTGATACAGGACAGTTGACTTGCATTTCTTTTCTAGTTGACCATCTCCATTCTCCAATTGAAATCCCAATCCTAATATTGGTACATATCAGACATAAATCTGTGATTACAAAAGCAAAACCATCTTTGACTCCATCCTTCAGTGCCAAGATAAAGAGCACAACTATGACATCAAAGTGGATTGGCCCTAAAGAACATCTGTTTTACTGACTAGCAGAGCATCAGTGTTCTGATCTGATCTTGGAATTGGTAGATTTTTCATCCAGTTGTCTATATTGTAATGGTGAAATGCTAGCAAGCAAGTGCCTGAGCTTCAACCTGGAAACTTTATTTCCAATATTTATTTGTTCCTAGAGGAGTTAAATATATAAGTTGAGCAGTGTGAACCGTCAATGTACATAGCTTGATAGTTTTTCATTCGCGTTCAATTGATTTATATGTTTAATTATGAATGTCAGAATGTTTAGTGACAAATATTTGTTTGTACAATGACTCTATGCATTTCTATTTTAAGTTTTTGATGACTAGATTGTTGCAGAACTAGAAATGTTGAGTACATTTACTTTTGATTTATTCATTAAGATATTTTTAACTTGGACATATTTGGTCATTTCCCTTATATTTTACAAATTCAGCATTGAAATGTCACCACATAGACATTTGAAAGATATTATATGGTAGGAATTAGAGCATGCCTATTTT